CAAAGCCACTTAAGATTCCAGCTAACCATTCCATGTTTTAATGCAGGTTTTTCAAATCATATTCTCCAGAACTTGATAGAGTTTTGTGAAAGACCAAGAGGGGAAAACATCCAACTTTATTAGAACTTTGCTAAAAGGTTCAGGGAAATGTATTTCTTAATGACAGGTTCTGTCATTAGGCCTGATAAAGTTTGAAAACCCTGTTTTGATCTATTGGTTTAACAGGCCAACTCTGCGATGAATTACTACAAAAGAAATGTTAGCAGCCTAAAATTGCCTTAAAATTACTGTAGTTGTCTTCTCGCCAGTAGCTGCCCATTCCACTTACAGATAGTTTCATTTGGCCATTTCCTTTTAACTTTTCGAACATACAGTGTATTACCCTGGCACCAAATACAAAAACACATTTGTTTGGTTTTCCCAATTTTTATTATTGCAAAAGAGTGATCTTTGCTGCTACAAACAGCCATGTTGTCAACATTTTATACAAGAATAAATCCACGATAGTTTACTGTAACACTGGTTCAACTGGGTGGATACTGTTATAAATGAATCTGCGAACTTGCAAATTTAATGACTCAGGTCTAAATTAAGATCATATACTCAAATATATCAGTTCAGTTTTAAAGGATCCAAAGAAATCCAAAGGCTGTGAATTGTGAGCAAGGTTAAATTTAAAAAAATATACAGCTGTTTAAAAATACATTGACCATCATGTAATTGATGTTTCTGGATTTTTTTCCCCTTCGTATTTCTTCAGTATTCGATAACAAATGGAGGTGTGTAAAATGTTCTGTGCTTTGAAGCCAAAACTTTCTAACTAAAAATAGTCTGTCTGAATATTGACACAATCTCTGAAAGATTGACCTCAGAGGTTTTACAGACCTCTAATAACCATTATTAAAAATCTGTCCAGTGCAGTTATTCCAATATAATTTATGAATAGCAACACTAATTAGATCCCAAACACTCTCAGTGTTATACAGCCTCAAACTAATCATTCTTGAAGATATGGGTAGTTACCTAAGATAAGTAGTCCTCAACTTACAACTATTTGTTTAGTTCAAAGTTATGATGGCACTGAAAAAAGTGACATACAACAGTCTCCACACGTACTGTACAACCATGGAAACTTCCCCAGTGTTATGTGATCAGAATTTGGGCAGTGGGTGTTGATGTATATTTATGACAGTTGTAGCTTCTTGGTATCTTGTCATCACCATTTGCAATCTTTCCAGCCAGCTTCTGACAAGCCAAGTCAGTGGGAGAAGCTTAATTCGCTTAATGACTGCATGTTTCATTTAACAACTGCAGTGATTCATTTAACAGCTGTAATAAACAGATCATAAAAATTGGACATGACTCAATACCTACCTTGCTTAGCAACAGAAATTCTGGTCTTCGTTGTAGTCGTTAAGTTGAGGACTACCTGTATAAACTCTCATGATTCCCAAAAACCATCAAATACGTTAAGTGGGGAAAGGCTGTTAACAGTGGGAATGCAAATAAGTTTGTACTGTACAATAAACCACCTTAAAAAAACACTTAGCAAAAATAAAATAAAAATATTTAAAGGAATAGTTAAAAAATGAAGAGAAGAATGATAAAAGATTTTTTTCTCTCCTGCAATCAACTGTCAGACATCAAGCCTGACCCATCCTTGATTTAAGATCAGGCCTTCACAAAGAACAGATGAGCAAAGAGAGAAACCAACTTATTCATTTTCTTCTCTCTATAGTTATCAAAATACCTATAAAAATCTACTTATAGTGATAAGATAAATAGAAAAGGCTTAGCTTTTTTTTTCTTTTTTTGGTTAAGAAATCCAGGGATCAAAAATAGAATAAATGAAATGGTTACCCCAAAGTGCCCACTAGTGTTTTCTTTCCACAGTGACTCCAAAATAAATCCCATTCAGCTCAGTGGAACTTACTCTTGGTTCCGATACAAGTTGGCAGCCTTAAATAACTTTCCATAGAGAAGGTTCTTTTCCAAGAATACCATTAGTTGTTTTCAATAACTTATTTTCTTTTTGCCTGCACCACTACAGCAAATCAGGATCAAATTTGTAGATTAAAGTCAGAGGGTGAGGCAGGAAATGTGCAGAAGCTTCCAAGAATATGAAACCTTACACAGCATGTATAAGTACACAGTTGTACATGATGTGACAAAATGGCATATAGACATGTGACCAAGTCTCTGCATTCTGTTTTGAAGTAGCGTGAAAGATATCTTCCAGCAGGTACCCCTGAAAAATGGGTGTCCAACCTTGGCAACTTTAAGACTTGGGAACTTCAACTTCCAGAATTCCTCACCCAGCATGGCTGGCTGGGGAATTCTGGGAGTTAAAGTCTACGGGTCTTAGAATTACCAAAGTTGGATACCCTTGCTCTAAAGAAAATAATTCAGATTTTGGTCTATTAATGTTGTTTTGTGTATACAGAAATATAAAAAAACCTGCCCTTTAGAGCTTCAAATCATTGGCTCACTTTAGTCTGGTACTAATAAAATTCCCATTATCCATTAGGCGGAAGCATGCTTGGCGTGTTTGTGGCTTAGTGTGCAAGTGTTGTACAAACAAAGATCCCATTAACTGTGGATAAATGTAACAACTGACAGCAGGATCCCAGTATTTCAGGCAGCAGCTTTTCCAGTCTAATCTGGAGATGCTGGGAATTGAATTGAAACATCTGATGTTCAATGTTCATGGGATTTGACAAAGAGATCCCACGATCCGTCTCTTAATATAAGCCAATTTCATACATTCAAGCAGGAGAAAGAATCTGGGAAATTAAAATGGTTTTTTAAAATTGTTTTTCAAATATTGGGGTGTGGTGATTACTGCACAAAGGAGGCAGAACTTCCTGGAGTAAAGCCATCCTAAATGTCTGCCCAATTCCATTGCCTTAACTCTGGATAAAATACAAGGCCTTGGAAAGACGATTTGAGTGCTTGGCAATCAGCACAAATATTTGGCATTCCTTCAGAAGACTTCTAAAACATCTTAGATTTCAGGAATGCTTCTTTGCAGAAGAGGTGCACAAACAGATGCTGCCTGTAGGGTTAAAACCTTGCCTGTAGCCCCCTCCCCCCTTGATTTTCAAACATTTTTACTAAATGGCAATTTTTATGTGACAAAAGGGGGAAATTCTTAATACATGATTCCCTAAACTCTTTAAAATTAATGTGTAATTAGTGTGGCTTTCCCCAAACACCTATATTCAATGGTAATTACATTGAAATGTAAATGAAATGTCGATTTTTCTAGTTTTATTCTCCTTTTAGGAATGCAGCTCCCAATATTCCATTCAAAGGCCAGGTATGAACCAGGTGTGAAATTCAGCAGGTTCTGGAGAACCGGCAGCGGAAATTTTGAGGAGTTTGGGGAACCAACAAGCACCACCTCTGACTGGCCCCAGAGTGGGAAGGGAATGGAGATTTTGCAATATCCTTCCCCCAGGAGTGGGAAGGAAAGGGAATATTGCAGTATCCTTCCCCTGCCATGCCCACCAAGCCATGCCGTGCCCACAGAACCGGTACTAAAAAAAAATTGAATTTCACCACTGGTGTGAACCTTCTCCAGGAAAAACAGCTACCTTCTTTGGATTTACTGAATTAATGTGAACATGCTCCCTTTTGTTTTGTTTTTTACATTAAAGCATGACAGCAGCCGTGTTCTAAAATTAGGCTCTCTCTAATTTGCAGTAGTGTAAAATTAGTTGCTGCTTTGTCTACTGCCTTTATCTTTGCAAAGAAAAACTGGCTTAATAAAGCTCCACATTATACTAAAACACACAAATTAAGTACAATACTGATGCACCTGTGGGATTTCTCTGTCACGGATCATAACAGCATACATTTTTAAAAGATTAATACATGGAAGCGACAAAAGCTATTGTTGGTAAAAGTTGTAACTACCAATAGCTTGAGTGACAATTATTAAAAATCTAAGCTCCACTTTAACACAGGGATTCACAAATAAGTGACTTCAGAGCACGTGTGATGTGCTAGGCTTAATATAGGTAGGTTATGTTGTAACTTTAATCAAAGGGAAAAAAGAAAATTGGCTTGTAATAGTGTGTTGATTTCAATCTAGACGATGGCTTGTGTTGTGGCCCGCCAGCAGACAGCAGAGCTGGCAGCAGTCGGGCAGTGAGGAGGTTGGGGAGGAACAGGAGCCAGTTCTAGGGGTAGAGGAAGGCTCAGAGGGAGGCAGAGAGGGAGCTAGACAGCAGTGAGGCAGAGAAACATTGTCCTGGTGCAGCACCTTGGAGGGTATAACAAATTGGGAAATTTTGGATTAAGGGAATGACCCACATAACAGCATCAAACAAAGGGAGCCTGCAAGCATCAGCAAGAGACACACAAATACAGATCCTGCCTGGTATTTATGAACTTAAAGATACCTGTATGGCTTCTTGAGATCCTCAGACACCGAAGAGCAATTTAAGACTGCTAAAGTGTAAAGCCATACCTATATACTATAAATCCAGGATCCTAAAAGGGACTAGTTTGATGTAAAAATGATGGCATCTCACTCACCAGGTTTAACTGAGAACTGCACCAAAGGAATAAAAAATGCAACTTGCTGGTCCCGCATTGCAGTCTCAGAATCTGTCCCCACCCGTTGCACTATAAAGGTAAAGATTCCCCTCGCACATATGTGCTAGTCGTTCCCGACTCTAGGGGACGGTGCTCATCTCTGTTTCAAAAGCGAAGTGCCATC